CAAAAATTGTTCACAAGTTTTAATAAATGTTCGTGTTGTCGAATTTTGTCCGGGAGTTTCATAGTTGCATTTCTAAGTTTGGTTTTCGAATTTCAAAAAAAATTCCCGTTCAAAAAATTATCATCATTTTCGAAAAATGTTCTATTTCAAAAAAAGTTGTCCATCATTTTCAAAAGTGGTCCTGTTTTGAAAAATATTCATCATTTTAGAAAGAAACCACATTTTTTTCAGGAAATGTTTTGGTTTTCCGGAAAATGTTTTTATATGTGAACGCCGCTTTTGAGTTCTTATAAGATTTCGCGAGATAGTCGCCGTGTAGTGAAATTGCCTATAACTGGCAGTTATGACGCCTAGTAGGATGTCGGTAGACATTGTGATATTTGGTTTTTTTGGAGTATGCTTTTTTTAGGTGTAATTGCGCTATTTTCTGCCCAGTAAACTTTATGTTTTTGTGACGAGCCCGATAAAAACTTCTATCCCAACTAATCAATATCAAAACGTAGCCTGGCCCAGCCCAGCTGCGTAGCAACCCCAACGACGCGGCACAACACGGTGCCCGAGAGCAGAGGTGCCATTTTCAATTTACTATTTTCAATTTTTGTTCCTGTTTTTCAAAAAATGTGTTGCCTCTTTTTAAAAATTGTTCCAAATATATATTAAAAAAATCATCTTTACTATTTTGTTCATTTTTTCAAAAAGTATTTGACAATCTCAAAATAGTTCATTTTCCACGAAATGTATGAGGGTTTCAAATTTTTGTTCACAAATATGAAAATGTTTGCGTTGCGAAAAAAAATCTCTTTGTAAAAATAAAATTATGTTTTTGCGAATGTTTGATCCCTAAAAAAGAAAAGCATTAGCAGGAGGTCTTCGGTTCAATCCCTCACTGGAACTTTAGTTTTGGCGAATCTTTCAATTTTTTGCCGCTGTCTATTGTTTCTTTAAATGTTGCACTGCTAATCTATTGCAAGAGCCGGTCTTGGCCAGTGGCTAGCACACTCCGCTCATTAGTACAAAGTTAGCGGTATGAATGTTAGCGCCGGCGCATTTCTTTTTCGCGATTTTTCACCTCGTGGGCGCCAAATGGCCCCTGTGCGCACCATGGATTCTTTGATGCAAAGAGCGTCACATAGGTGCTCCCGGCGTCCCCGGGAGCTCCTATTGCCGCATTCTGCGGCAAACAATCGCCTCTTCACATAGAGGGTGCCCGATTGGGCCGACCCATTAGGGTGGCGCAAAAATACCCAAAATTAAACGCGTGAGAGCCAGTATTCGATCCGCAGATCTCCTATTGATGATGTAACCTTGCTAGCCAGTCGGCCTAATGAAGCGGTTGAGACATATGAGTAGCACGAAATACAAAAAACAAAAGACAAGGACCGTAACTCAACACTACTCAAAGATTTTAAGAAACACCTACAATTTATTAAATTCCAATTTCTTTTGAAAATGCGAATAATTTTTTCAAAACTCAATTAGTCTTTAAAAAGTAGGAACAAATTTTGAAAAATGAGAACAAACAATTTAATTTTTTAACAATTTTTGAAACTCCATTTTTTTTGAAAATACAAACGAATTTATTAGTTCAGAACAATTTTTTTGAAATATGAATAAAATTTGAAACTGTAAAACTTTTGGAAACACAAATAAAATTTAAAATTCTGAACATTTTGGTGTAAACTCCAAATATTTTTTGAAAACATGAAAAAATTTATTAGTTCAGAACAATTCAGAACAATTTAGAACAATTTAAAATTTATTAGTTCAGAACAATTTAGAATATGAAGAAAATCCGAAAACTCCAAATATTTTTTGAAAACATGAAAAAATTTCAAAATTCGACACATATTTGGAAAATTTCTGACTTTTTGAAATTTTGATTTTTTGGATTTTTTGAACTTCTTTTCGATTTATGACAAAAAATGACAAAAATAGGATATTTTTTTAAACTGTGAACAAAATTTTAAAAATTCGAACATTAGTTAAAAAATGTGAACAACTTTGGAAACGAGAATTGTTTTGAAAATTCAGAAAAATATTTAAATATGGGAACATTTCTTCAATATCGTGAAATATTTTTGAAAACACAAAAATGGTTTAAAATATTGGGAACATTTTTTGGAACTCCTAAAAAAATTGAAATTTGTGAACAAACTTTTCGAACGGGATCATTTTTTCAATCTCGTGAAATATTTTTGAAAACAGAAACATTGTGTAAAATATCGCGAGCATTTTTTGGAAACTACTGAACAAATTTTTTGAAACAGGACATTGTACGAAACTCGTGAAGAAAAATTTAAAACACGAACATTTTTTGAAAAATGTATTTTTTTTAAACAGGAACATTTATTGAAACCGGCGAACAAAATTTGAAAATATGAGCATTTTTCTTAAATTGGTGAACAAATTTTTTAAAGTTGTAGAATTTTGATAAAAAACATAAAGAAAAGAAACCAAAACGAAAGAAAGAAAAAAACAAAAAAGGAAAAAAACAAAAAAAATGAAAAATAAAAAACCAGTCCAAAAAATGGTTCAGGAACCTTCTACATGGTTTCCAAAACGGGTAGAAACCAGTAGGGCTGCAAACGAGTCGAGTTCAAGCGAGTTAGACTTGGCTCAGCTCAACTCATATTAAAATTCGAGCGAGCTCATACTGAGTGAAGCTCAAGGTCGAGTTGTAGAACATGACTCGTGCTCAGCTTGTAACGATTTCGAGCTGGTTTCAAGCTAAATGAGATGATAAAAATTATAAAATCTACAACTATTATTTCAACTACATAAGGCACAACATGACATAAAAAAGCACTACAAATATATTATTCCAATCAAAACATTATTCTGAGATCCTTCATTTATTTATAAACTATAGTATCAACTAGATGGCATGAAAGTGAAAAAAGGGCTAACTCCAACTGAAGGTACATCCATCTCATCATGTTCAGGAGAGCTCATCTTCATGAATGAAGGGAAAGAAAAACAAAGGTGCATATGCTTGAGATCTTTTGCTAGAAATGACAGGATATTTAACACACGACTGACCACGTACCATAATAAGGTATAAATATTTTCTACACTTAACTAAGCTCCCGTGTTTGCTTGTAAATAAAATGGAGAAAAATCCTATATCACCTATATGATAATAAATTATCCTATTTCCATTTAATATGTGGCATGATCATTTAACATACTGATATTATGTCGAGCCATCGAGCTAAAATCAAGCGAACCAGGATTGGCGAAAGATCGGCTCGTTCCTCAACCGAGCTACGAAAAGTGTTCGTACTCATCTTGTTTCTTCCCGAGTCAAGCCAAAAAACGAGTCGATCTCGAGCGGCTCACAAGCCTCAAGCTTTTCTTGCAGCCCTAGAAACCAGGGCTGGAACCTCAGATGGTTCCCATGAATATTCCGAGAGCTCCTAGCCGGAGATCCGGCGCCCACGCGCCCTGCTAGTTGGCCGGCGCACTAAACATGACTAGCTAAACTCGCTGGGGAAAAATTCCCAAAAATTGGCTGTTACAGGATTCGAACTTAGGACGGTCACTCCACTTCCATACTCCTTAACCACTGCACCTACAGGCCACCAGTGATTTCGTACCGCTTGAAACACATAATAACACTATCGCGCCGTATTTGTTGCACATAACCACTTTTTTTTGGCAAACCAAATCGTGATAAGAAAACATTTATGGATTTTGAAAACGTTCATCATTTTTGAAGAAACGTTGATGAACTTGAAAAAAGTTCACCGATTTTCAAAAATTGTTCATACAATTTGCAAAAAAGTTCATAGTTTTTTTAAATGATCGAATTTGAAAAAAGTTCATCAAAATTGAAAAAAATGTTCATGGATTTAAATATAACAATCGACAAAATTGATAAAGTTTGTCAAATTTAGAAAAGTTCATCATCAAATTTAGAAAAGTTCATCATCAAATTTTAAAAAGTTCATTGAATTCTAAAAAAAGTTCATCCAATATGAAAGAGTTCATTTAATTTGAAAAAAATTTCAAAAAATTCGAAAAAAGGTTCACCGAATTCGAAAAAACGTTCACCTCATTCGAAAAAAGTTCATTAATTTTTTAAAAAATCACCAAATTCAAAAAAAGTTCATCGAATTTAGGAAAAGTTCATTGAATTATGAAAAATGTTCATCAAAATCAAAAAAAGCTCACCCATTCAAAAAAAGTTCACCTAATTTGAAAATAGTTTATCAAATTTGGAAAAAAAAGTTCATCGAATTTGATAAAAAATTCATCAATTTTAGATAAGAAAGTCATGGATTTGGAAAAAGTTCATGGAACCGAGGAAGAAGAAAAAGAAAAGGAGGAAAAAGAAAATAGGAAAACAGAAACAGAAAAACACAAACAGAAGAAACAAGGAAAGAAGAAAAGACTGAAAGTTAGCACGCAGTTGGGGATGGTGGCTGTGGTTCGTGCAGCTTGCTGTTAAGCAGGAGGTACGCTGTTCGACTCCAAGTACTAGCGTATATTTTTGCTGTGTGATTAACACAGGGGGAAAGTCTAGATGGGCCGGCCCAGCGGACCAGGGGGGTATGCGCCCGTTTGCGGATTGTGCTGTATCGGGCGCAGAGGGCGCCAAATAGGAACCAGCGGATATTCCGGCGTGCCCATGGGATCGGGACAATAGAAGAAGTTCCCTGAAACCGTTGAAAAATGTTATTGGGCTAGCTCACTTCGTGCCTAATAATGGGTTTGCGTTATTTGCTGCACAACAAACTTTGCGATGAGCCCAATAATAATACTTCTTCCAACCAAAACCCAGAACCCAGACTGGCCCAACGGCGCGGCACCGAGCCGGAGACGGAGAGCAGAGGTGCCATCTCCCGCGGCGGAGAATCGGCCAGCGAGGCGCCTCCGTGCTCCGGAAGAAAGAAGGAACCGCTTGGCCCCGAGGCGAAGCAACATTTCGTCTCCGCACGCGCGCCAGAGGAAGAAGACCGCGGAGGAGGAGAGAAAGCGCGCGCGAGAGGAGGAAGAACATGTTCATCCAGAAGGTAATGGGGTTTCTTCTACCATTTATCCGCCGGTAAACTAGCGCAAAGATTATATGTGCATAACTTTTCCTTTTGCGAATTTTGCTGGTGGCGCGCGCAGGCATGGAGGACGGCAGCGTTCGGGCTCTATGGCTTCACCCAGTTCACCAAATCCGGCTTCGTGTAAGCCCAATTCCGCCCGATAGTCTACCGGATTCCCTCTCGCTGCAGTTGTATAATTTCCCCTTTCGTGTCAGAACTGGTGCTCATCGTGTTGAATTTATCCGCCCTTTTGAGCTGCTGAGCCCTTTTGGTTTACTGGGATCAAACTATTTTGAGTTCGTGAAAACGAGAGGGAGAGCTGCTTACAGCATTTTGATTCGATTTAGGATCGTATTCTGTCAGTTATGCTATCATGCTCATGTTCAAACTAATGAGGCTTTAATTACCCAGGGAACACGCCAAGAAATTTAGAGAGGAGGATATGCAGATCCGGTTGGATGGGAAAAATTGCCTGGTAACTGGAGCAAATTCTGGCCTAGGTTATGCGACAGCTCAGGGCTTGGCTTCTCAGTATGAAACTATTCATCTTTTTTCCACTTTGATAATTCGCGCTGCGATTGAACTGTTTTTTACCACCTGTCATAAAAACCTTTGTTCCTTTTGTTCTGCTAGTGGCGCCACTGTCTATATGCTTTGCCGTAACAAAGAAAGGGGAGAGACTGCTCTGAATGAAATAAGATCCAAAACTGGCAATATGAATGTTCATCTGGAGGTATGGTGCTTCAACATTGTTTTTTCTTGCAATATTCACTTCTTATTGATAGTCTATATGGTAATTCTGGGCAAACTAGCACTTCAATCATTTTCATCATTTTTTGACCGGCTAGCACTTCAATTATTATGATGTGGCAGATATGTGACCTTTCATCAATTAACGAAGTCAAGACATTTGCCACAAAATTCTCTTCATTGGAGAAGCCACTTCATGTCCTTGTAAGCTTTGCTGCTTCATTTTTTATTTTATTTTTTGCATTTTGTGTTTCTTTTCTCTGGCTGCAGCATCTTTTTTTTTCCCAATTATAATCAGATAAATCATCAAAGTTTCCTCTAGAATTACATTAGATACTGGACAGAACAGGCAAATAAAAACAGATTGTCTTGTAGGTTAACAACGCCGGCTTACTAGAGCACAAGCGTACGACTACATCGGAAGGGTGTGTAATACTTTGCATCATCATGCTTATTTTCTTTTTCCCCTGCTTGTTTTCGAATTGTTCTGGTCTTGTATAACTCCTAAGCATCTTGTATTTATTGTGCTAACTTCAACTGAAAAAGGTGGGATGTTTTTGTTTTTCTCAATAGTTTGGAGCTCAATTTTGCTGTGAATGTGGCAGCAACATACACTTTAACAGAGCTAGTGATGCCACTGTTGGAAAAAGCAGCACCTGATGCTCGTGTCATTACAGTTGCTTCAGGAGGGATGTACACTGAGCCACTGAACACGAATTTACAAGTAAATCTCTTTGCTCTACTTTTACTCTGTACTAGTGGTTGGGGCGCCACCCTGTGGCGCCGCTTGAGAGGAAGGTGTGCGCACATTTTCATTTAAAAAAAATACATAGAGTCCTCGCTTCCATCTAAAAAAACATCTCCGAAAAAAAATCCTCACCTTCATCTAAAAAAAGAAGTAAAAAGGAAAAAGAAAAAAATTACCACCGCAGCCTACCAGCGAGTGCCACTTTGCATAACCCACCACTTTAAAAATAACCTACACATTCATCTAAAAAAATCCAAAAGATTTCTCACCGCAGCCAACCAGCTTGCGCCACGTGGCATAGCTGGTTGGCCGCCCTTCACGTGTAGCTTAATGGGTTTAATGGAAGCAGAATGCCAAAAAGTATGTATAGAAATAAAATTTACTACATATTGTAATGTGGAGAGCAATGAAAACACCATCCTTGTCATTGTTCCATGGGCGAGGGAAAAAATTGTTCTGCAGGAACTTCCCAACAGGGTCCACTTGGAAAAAATCAATGTTGAATAGTTGCGGCAATAAATGAACTTCTCCATTTACCTCTGATTCATTTTGGAAGGTTATGCGAGAAATCCCCACTTATCCAGATTCTGGATTCATTGTCATCGAAAATGAACTAATTTGATTGCTTACCAAGAGCTTAGTTGAATTGCCATTGGCCTTTCTCATTTTGCTGTCCTGACGATGATATTGCAGTCTTTTATATTCATGCTATAGAAACATAAACCATGGGTTGTTTATTGCTGGAAACATAATCCATAGGTTGTTTATTGATGATATTGCAGTCTTGTACTTCTGACTATGGTATATTCCTCCTCACTATTATTTTTAAACTACAGTACAGCGAAAGCGAATTTGACGGGACAAAACAATATGCTCGTAACAAGAGAGTTCAGGTTTGTGAATCTTGATGTCTGAATTCCCCCGGGTCAACAAGAGATGGTAACACATGACTAACTTGATCCTGGAAACTCTCAGGTTGCTCTCACCGAATGGTGGGCTGAGAAATACAGCAACAAGGGAGTGGGTTTCTACTCCATGCATCCAGGATGGGCTGATACACCTGGAGTCTCGAAGAGCTTGCCGGGACTATCAGAGAAGTATGTCTTCAGCTCCCTCTTGGTCCATTTATGTTATATATAGCGTCGACATCTAATTTACACATCATCAATAATACTATGTCAGGCTATCAGGAAACCTGAGATCGAACGAAGAAGGGGCTGACACAGTGGTCTGGTTGGCTTTGCAACCCAAGGAGAAGTTAGTCCCAGGGGCTTTCTACTTCGACCGGGCCGAAGCGCAAAAACATTTGAAGTATGCTGGGACTGCAGCATCCCATGAGCAGATAGGTTCGATTGTTGACAGCATTCGCTCCATCTGTAACCTACCTGCTAACCCACAAGTTTATCAGTGAAGGGATGGAAGTCCTGGACATGAAAATAAAATTGAAATTCTGAAAAAAAAAAGAGATGCACCAGCCGGGAATCGAACCCGGGTCTGTACCGTGGCAGGGTACTATTCTACCACTAGACCACTGGTGCTTTGATGACAGGCTGTTCCCATTTCTCTATCGATACCGGGCCGTAGAATTTAATCTGTTCACAATCAGTGCTACAGTATAGTGACCTCGGCGATTATTTTGATATGTACATCGACGATGGATGCTAGTGCCTAGTGATAGAGTTTTCCTCTGTACTCATACAAAACGGTATTTTTTCCTTAAACAAACCATACATTACGGTATTCATGTAAAAATGTTTGGTGAGATGGTCGACTATGTCGTATGCATAAATCTATTCATTTCCTCTCAAATTTTATATGGAACTCCTTGTTTCAAACATGTTTTTTTTAAAGGAGGCTCACCCACCCCCGGCCTCTGCATCCTTCAGATGCATGCGGCCATATTATTAAAAAGTACAAATAAAACAAAGTCTTAACTCCATTACAGCTCGCAAACGGAGCAAAAATAAAAAGGGAAACTCATCGCCACAACCGGCAGGATAAATGGGACTGAAACACTAGACACCTGTCCTATTATGAGACCGCCATCCAAACCGGTTAAATATAACCTGTGCTACATCTCCCACTGGGTGCACCCAGTAACCAAAGACTCCCCGAAGTTTGTAAGAGTGAGTAATGACCACGTACAGATCCATGCCGTAGCCCTGAAGATGACCTGCAAGAAATTGTAGAAGCAAAGCACTAGAAAAAATTGCAACAATGGCTAGCTCAATCCTCACAATACTCCCCCCGTCCCTCTTTACCTTGCAAATGTACTTTCCTTTTGTTTTTTCAAACTCCTTATTCTATGGACTTTCCGTACAATCTCCGGTAAAAAGAGAAAACGATGAAAATAAGGAAGCAGATG